GCCCATTCACATAAAACCAACTTTCTTAGGAAATTTTTCTAACACACACACACACACACACTGGTAGTAGTCCCCAAGACTTACCTAATATAGGCCAGACTGTCTTTGTTTCGTAACTTAGAGTTATTTTTTCTGCCTTGAAGTACTCTATCCAATCTTATGCTGTATTTATAGAATCACAAAATTTGAATGTTAAAGAAAACTTCAGGGGCCATAGAATCTAATCTGTACCTGGACAAGAATCTGCTCTATATCTTATATATAGCCTTTGCATTAAGCCCTTTAATGATAGGGAGCTCATCACCTACCAAGAGAGCACACTGGGATAGTTCTAATGTTTAGGAAGTCTCTGACATCAAGTCCAAATCTACCATAATAAGTGCCTACTATGGGCAAGGTACTGTACTGGGGCTGAAGGTACAAAGATAAAAGTGAAAAACTCTTTTGGCCCTAAATGATCCAACATTCTGCTGGGGTATACAAAAAAATTTAAAAAAAGAGTCACAGGACTCATGACTAGCAGGATGAGAAAAGTGTTCCATAGGAGGTGATGCTAGAGCTGAGCCCTGAAAGAAGCTTAGGTTTTGGAGAGGCAGAAGTGAGGAGAAAATACATTCTAGGCATAGCTAACATCCTGGGCCAAAACATGGAGGTAGAAAATTAAATATTGACTTTAGGGAACAGCAGGTAAAGCATTATGACTACAATAGACAGTGTCAAAAGTAATATGAAATAAATAAGGCAATATAGGCTACAGCCAGACTGTGAAGAGTTTTAAATGCCAAGCTGAGAAGTTTGTATGTTATACTAGAAACAATTAGGAGTCAGTAAAAATGCCTAAATAGGGGAGTGACTTGGTTAAACTAAGCTTTAGGAAAAATTATTTTGGCAGCCATCTGGAAGATCTGGAAGTGATCTGGAGTAGGGAAAGCACTGGGGAGAGTACTTAGGAAGCAACTGTAGTAGCCTAGAAGTAACACTGACCTTCACAAAGGTAAGGTCAGTCAGAAAGCATTTATTAATTGTTTGCTATGTGTCAAGTATTGTGGTAAATACTGGGGATACCGAGAAAATGATTTAAAATAATTTTCTGCCAATAAAGAGCACATATTCTAATGGGTAAGACAATATGTAAGTACCTAGGTACCTATAAGATATACATAGAAAACGTGAAGGCATAGCAGCTGGGTGATACTGGGGGAAAAGCCTTCTGTAAAAGGTGTAGTTTTTAAAAGGGTCTTGAGGGAAGCCAAGGAAGGTAAGGGGGAAGAGTATTGTAGGCATAGGAGATAGCCTGTAACAGGAAGCCCTGGAACTCATTGAGTTGGGGGAGGGATAACATACATCCATGCTCTAGAAAAATCAACTCAGCAGCTGAATGTAGGGTAGATTGGCTTGGGAAGAGAGTACTCCAGGGAAGAAATGATGAGGGATTGAATGAGGGTTATGTTATGAGTGGAAAGGTGACATATATGAGCTACTGTGAAGGTAGAAATGGCAAGATTTAATAATAGGGTGGCTATGTGGGATGAAGGAGAGGAGTAATGAACATCTAGGTTGTGAGCCTCGGTGCCTGGGAGCACAGTTGTGCCCTTGACATCAACAGAGAAGTTCAGAAAAGGGGAGGATTTAAGAGAGAGGATGAATTCTGTTTTGGGCACAGTGAGTTTGAGATTTCTATGGGATAACCAGTTTGAGATATTTAAGAGGCAGCTGGAGATGTGAAACTGGAGCTTAGGAGAGAGTTTAAGGCTAGATCTAGAGGGGATGTTTCAGCTTTGCAGTACTTTCTAAATGAGGAACATGGGAATTTCCTTCAGGGTGGATGAAAGTGCAAAACCGAGATACTAAAAGCCAACTTCAACTTTGAGGTCATATTGAAAAATCTGGCACTGCTTTCTTAAAGCTTTTTAAATTTGCACTACACTAAAGTTAAAAAAAAGGAGGGGGGGAACTAAATAAAATCTCAAAGGGAAAATTATCACAACTGTATTCTTCATCATTTAATACTAATGCTTTCCTTGTTCACTAGTCAATTAAATTCAAAACACATATTTGAGTACCTAGTATATTGTGGCATATGCTATAAGGTATTAGACCTTTATAAGTACCCAAGCCCAATAAGACCTTCTAGAAGAGTTAAAAAAAAAAAAAGAGTGGTAGAGGAACAATTTGGGAAAGAAATGAGACTGAGGCACGAAAATTATGAAAAGAGAATTAACAGTTTGGTAAAAAGAGGCACAAAAAATGCTGAAGAAAATAACACTTTAAAAAAAAGCAGAATTGGCCTAATGATAAAAGAGGCACAAAAAAGTAACTGAAGAAAAAAACTCCTTAAAAAGCAAAATAGGCCAAATGGAAAAGGAGGCACAAAAAATTCACTGAAGAAAATAACTCCCTAAAAATTAGAACTGGGCAAGCTAGTGACTCCATGAGACTTCAAGAAACAGCAAAACAAAGTCGAAACAATGAAAAAATTGAAGAAAATGTGAAATACCTCATTGGAAAAACAACTGAACTGTAAAACAGATTAAGGATAATTTAAGAGTTATTGGAGGGAAGACATAGGAGGATATTTGGAGGGAAGGGTGAGGGAATAGGTCAAATGGCATGTAAAAGGCTGTTCAGATTTATGGGAATGGGAGGACAAGGGAAGGATTGTTGGAGGGGGTGGGCAGGTTAAGTAATAAAAGGGCAAGGTAGCGGGTAGAAGAAGTCAAGAGGGACTGGAAATAAGAGATATGCACAAATATATTTTTATAGATTAGGAGTAGATTAGGAGTAGAATCTCTTAGGGAAAGTATATGATTATATATGTATTTATGTATACATGTATGTATGTGTATGTATATATTAATATCTATATATAAATATATCTATGCTTTATTGTAGCCTGGGGGAGGGGGAGGGAGAGGAAGGCGGGAGAGAACAAAGCAAAAGTGTACAACAGAGAACAAAAGAAAACCTACAAGGAGGCAAAGAAAAGATGGATAGCTTTTAACACAACACATAGTATTTAACATATAGGATTTCTTGAAACGGAAATTTATTGCTATATGTTTTGAATTCTCTCTTATGTTCTGCTGTGTGCATGACATTTTTTTCTTATCTTATATTTAAATTTTAAGTTTATAATGGCTTTTTTTCTTATGTTTTTAAGTTTTAGTATTCAAGTCTAAAATAAAAAAGATTAAAAAAAGAATTATTGAATTACATGGAAGCCATTATCAAAGAAATTATCCAAGAAAACTGCTCCAACATCTTAGATCCAGAGGATAAAATAGAAATTGGAAGAATCCACTGATCACTTCCTGAAAGAGATCCCAAAATGAAAACTTCCAGGAATATTATAGCCAAATTTCAGAGCTCCCAGATCAAAGAGAAAATACTTCAAACAGCCAGAAACAATTTAAATATTGTACAATCTCAGTCAGGATCACAAGATTTAGTGGCTTCCACATTAAAGGACTGGACCTGGAGTATGATATTCTGGAAGGTTAAGGAGGTAGGATTGCAACCAAGAAAAACCTACTCAGCAAAATGGAGTGTAATCCTTAAGGGGAAAAATTTATAGTTAATGAAATAGAGGACTTTCAAGAATTCCTGATGAAAAGACCAGCACTGAACAGAAAATGTGACATTCAAACACAAGACTCAAGAGAAGCACAAAAAAGTAAGCATTAAAGAATAATTATAAGGGACCCAATAAAGTTAAACTATTTACTTTCCTATATTGAAAGATGGTACATGTAACTGCTTATCATTATTAGGGCAACTGAAAGGAGTTTACATATATCCTTTGCACAGCAATACCACTACTGGGTCTGTGTCCCCATGACATCAAAGAAAAAAGAAAATAACCTATATATATATACAAAATACTTACAGCTGCACTTTTCATGGTGGTAAAGAATTGGAAATCAAAAGGATGCTCATCAATTGGGGAATGGCTGAGCAAGTAGTGGCATATGATTGTAATGGAGTATTGTTCTATAAGAAATGATGAGAGGATTGGTTTCAAAAAAGCATGGCAAGACATATATAAAATGATACAAAGTAAAGTAAAAAGAATGGGGAGATCTTTGTGCACAGTAACAACAATGTTGTAATGATGATTAACTGTGAAAGACTTGGCTACTCTGATCAATACAATGATCTAAGACAATTACTGTCAACCTCCAGAGAGAGAACTGGTGAACTCTGAGTGTAAACTGAAGTACAATTTTCTCACCTTATTTTTCTTGTCTTTTTTTTTTTTAAATATGGGTAACATGAAAATGTTTTGCATGATTTCGTATGTATAATTGACATACTGTTTGCCTTCGCAAGTGGGTGAGGGAGATCAAAGGGAAGGAAAGAGTTTGGAATTCAATTCAAACAGAAAATGTTAAAAATTAATTATAAAATTTTAAAAATAAAATAAATTGAAGGCTAGGCATGCAGTACACTAAAAAAGAGTAAATGTAAGGGAAACATGATCTTTATTCTCTTTTACTAAGCAAAAGAACATGAAAAATGAATTTACATTAAAATTTTAAGAAGAAAAAATTAAATTGGTTACTTTTTAAATATACAGACTGATGGAATATTCTAAAAATAACACCAAAATACAGAATTTTAGCTCCCCAATACATAGAAACACATACAGTAAATTCTGTTACCTAGTCAAATTCAGGGAATTGGCTGCATAAAAACCCTGAGTGTGGTTAATAAAAAATTCCATCGTTTAATAATTTTCACATTTTGGTCTAGACCTAGGCTTTCATTGATGAAGGAAATTCCTAATGACGAAATTCCCTCTAGCAATGCAAATCAGCAACGTTCTGTAATTTACAATATTCAAGATTTAGGTGAGGCACTGAAAAGTTATGAATTGCTGAGAGTCAAATGGCCAGTTTGTCAGTGGCAGTACTTGAATGCAAATCAACCTTTGAAGTCAGCTCTCTACACTACATCATTATACTACCATGCTGCCTCTCAATTTTTCCAAAAAAAATTTAGGAAATAAGAATTATACTGAATATAACTAAAAATATCTTTGGTAATTTAGAATGCACTTAATTACAATACTTAATGGTGATTGCCATGGACATTAGCATGATCTTAACACCAATGTGCAATGGTGGAAAGAACAACAGAATTATAAGGACCTCGGAAGACATCTACTCTAAATCACATATAAGAAATACATAACCATACATAAAACCATACATTAAAAAATGCCCAATATTGCCCATTGATAGAGTTTTGGATATTTGCAATGCATACCGTCACCAGAATAAAGTAGGTAGGAAGGACATAACAATTTTTTAAGTTTTGATGAGTAAGTTACACAGGCAATGTGATTTTTAACAGACAACTGCTTCTTAGGAGAATTTTATAGAATCACTCGAATGATCACAGAAAATATTCAGTCTAAAGTTTAAGAACTCTCTCAAAGTTTCAAAAGTTCTCCAAATTTCAATTTGCACCATCTTTCTTCAGCTCACAGTATGAATTTTAAACACACTAGAAACATGTAACTTTTCACAATCAAAAGAGGAGCTACTTCTGGGGTCCTCACAAAAGCTGAGTATTTTGGGCCTTTCTCATTAAGGTCTACAAAATAATGAGAAGGCTAAAATGTTCCTGTGAGGCAATGTAAAAAGAATCCTTCCTGCCTACTGCTTGCCTAGGATCTAGCAAAGCAAATGCCAAATACAAGATCAACAACTTCAGTTTTGTTACAACAAACAATTAACAATTTGACTTTGTGCCCTTAGTTTGCCCTGCAGTCCCTCTGACTGGCATCATTTAGCCTTTCTGGAAGTTATTTGGTAGGCAAAGACTTCTAGAAAGTCAAGGATATTCTTATTTATAGAAAAGTCATTTGGCTGGAGTGCAAGTCCCCTTAAATATAACAAGTCATATGAGTTTTGTACACAAAACAATAAAGTCCTGACAAACAAAAGCCTCATAGAGAGGTTAGAGTGCTTCAGCTGGTCAGGAACACCGAGGTTAGAAGCCTGTCTCTGACCCTCATGAGACACTCAACTATGGACAAACCATTCAGCCTTTTTGACCCTCTGTTCGTTCATCTGTAAAATGAAGATATCACCTGTTGCACCTATCTTATAGGTTTGTTTTGAGGCTCAACTCAGATAATGTAGTCTGCACACCATACATCACCATATAAACCAGCTGTTATTAGTAGTATAATGCCCTGTCCTCAAATATTAAATCAATTAGTATGAATGATCTCTTGCAGATCTATATGAAAAAACTGCCTAGTTCCAATTACTGCAACAGAAACTTGTCAAGCCTTGACCACAATGAACTATAGATAGTAAAAATATAAGGTTAATACTTCCTTAGGAAGTGAACAAAATCATTATTTGCAAGGCATGATTGTTATTATTGGGAGGCAGCATGACAGTGGAAAGAACAATAGGTTTAGTGTCATGGGATTTATTTTTCCTATCTCAGCTTTGCCTCTACTAGTTGTGTGACCTTAGGCAAGCCACCTGTCTTTGGGCCTCCATTTCCTCATCTGTAAAATTAGGAGGTTCGCACTAGATGATTCCTAAAATCTGACTGCTTGACCCCTATTATTCACAACATCATCTGTGGTAATGCTTCAGAAACTGATTAATTTTCAAACAATAAAAGAGGGGAAGGGAAATTTATCTGAAGTTCAGGTCAATCATCCAACCACTCCCACAGGGACAATTAGAAATGAAGTTATGTACCATTCTACAGAAAGCTCCCAGCGTCTAGGGGAATGGGATGGAAAGGAGTGGTTTTAAGGAGGTAGGTAGCTCAAAGGACTGGTAAGACCCAGTTAAACCTCCAACACATCAAAGAGAGGAAAGGGAAACTTCCTTGGACTTCAGGCCCATCATTCAAGCAGCCCCCCCAAGAACAATTAAGAATTTTACTATATGGAAGAGGAGGGGAAGTTGGGAGTGGAAAGGTAGCTTAAAAAGCTAGAAAGATTCCACCATTCTTCCTGAAAGAGGTGGAGGGTAAACGTTCCTGGACTTCAGCTCTATTCTGCTGCAAGGGGATGGGACGGGACTGGGAAAGAGATGATTATGGAGAGAGGTGGCTTTAAAAGCTGATTTGATCCATTTCCAAACCACTAAAGTGGCGGAGGAGGATATTTCCCTAGACTTCATCCAACCACTGCCCAAAAACAATGAGATTAAGGAACAATATTAAGGAATTAGGAGGTTGGCAGGAGGAATGGAATGGGGTAGAGCTGGGAAGGAGGTATTTGCAAAGGCACACAACAGCCCAAAAGGCCAGGGAAAGGGCGGGGCGGGGGGGCAGCTTCGGGCGCAGCAGCCACCAGCACCCAGCTCGGTCACTCGTCCTCGTCCTCGCCGTCGCCGCTCTCGTCCTGGTGCCGGATGTACACGACCAGCATGGCAAAGCCGGTGACGATGCAGAGGGAGCCAGAGGTCAGGTAGGCGATGCCCAGGAAGGGGTTCTTGCCCCCCATCCACGAGATGCTGCTAAGATGACGCGCTTGTGGCCGCCGAAGGCCTGCACGGGGTAGTTGTAGGTGATGTTCACGCAGTAGGCCCCGCGGGGCAGCCCCGCCGAGTAGTTGCCGTGGCGGATGCGCGCGTACAGCTTGCGGAACGTGGGCAGCGCCGCCGTGCGCATCCACACCACGAAGTCCTGGTTCTCGAAGCCCGTGTTGTTGGGGTCCGGGCTCAGGTCGTAGACCGGCCGCGGCCAGTTGGGCGGCTTGGCCGTGCCGTAGAAGGCCAGCTGCAGGCTGCCGTTGATGGGCGGCGGGTTGCGGAACTTGACGTGGTAGTCGGTCCACCAGGCGATGCCGGTGCGGTCGAGAGGCACCTCCTCGTAGGCGTCGTCGGCCTCGCGCCGGCGCAGCAGACGGAAGGAATCGTTGAAGAGGCTGTTGGCGATAGCGCCGCACGGCGCGATGGGCACGCCGGCCGGGGTGAGCTGGTAGGGCGCGCACTCGCTGGAGGGCTGCCGCAGCGCGCTGGTCAGCCCGCTGAGCTGCGCGTCGTCTCGCGAGATCACGTAGCGGCGGTCGTTCTGGTAGAAGTTGGCCAGCTCGTAGTAGAAGAACACGGTGCCCTGGAAGAGCTCGGGCAGCGAGAAGCACCACAGGCAGCTGCAGTTGGCGGGCGGCGGGGCGGCCTCCTCCAGGGCCGCGGCGCAGGCCGTGCAGTTGCCGGTGCCCGCGTACCCCGTGTAGTCGTACGCCAGCTCCTTGATGCCGTTGGAGGAGTAGTAGAGGCCCAGGCCGAGGCCGATGAAGGCCAGGCCCACGCAGAAAAAGAGCGGCAGGACGATGCTGGCCGACAGCAGCGGCTGCCAGGCCGGCAGGCGCTGCTGCGTGAAGGCCGTGCTGTCGGGCTGGTGGGCCCCTGGCGACGTCGCGCTCCAGGCCATGGCGGCGGCGGGCCCCACTGGCGGGCGTCGAGGCCGAGAAGCGGGGGCGCCCCCTCCCCCTAGCTCCGGGGAGTCTGGCTGCCGAGCCCTTACCCCCAGCTCCGGGGCTGCGTGTCCGCTCACAGCCGCGTTCCGCCTGCGCCCAGGTGAACCCTCCCTGGGCTTCCGCCTTCTACCTGGATGACTAGCTGCACCCCGCCCTCGGGCTCCAGTGGTTTTTTCCGATTCCCGGAACCTCGGCTTCAGGTTTCAGGGTTCTCTCTCCGCCCCGCCAGGTGAATGGCGGTCCAGGGCTGCCTCTGCCGGCGCTGATGCCTTTCCAGCTCGACCTGCGTTTCACTTTTGTTTCTGCCAGCAGGTGACGGCACTCTCTGGGCCTGTCGCTCCCTGCACTGCCTTCTCCCTGGAGCTACTTAGCACAAAATCTCCTAGTCTCTAGCGGCTTCTGGTTATTTTTCTTCGTTTTAAGATTCCCACCTGCAAATCCATTTTAACGAGAAAAAGGCATCCTGTCTCTGTGGCCATGCATCCGTCTTAACTTCCAGCCACTTTAAAGCCATGTTCGGATTCCTTTTTTTTTTCTCCACCCAAAGGAAGATGATTTTCAAGTCTTAAGGGACCACCTTCATTTGGGATCCCCACCTGCACTCCATTTCAACAACACACCAGGATGAATATGCTTTTATTCAAAAGGGAGCAATTTTCATAGAGCTTCTCAGTTCTGGAATTCTTCTGACTCTTTCATCCCTTCCACTCTGTTATCTCCTCCCAAATCTGTTCTTCCCTTTAGCAAAACCTAAGCTTGTGGTCAGCTTTGCTCCACCCTTAAATCCCTTCCACCTTTTAACCTGCTAACACATAACCCTGGATAACTTCTATCACCTACCTATTTAGTTCCTATGCTTGAACTTCCTGGTGCTCTTGGAAGAAAGTATAGTATCTTGCAAGACTGCATCTACTACAAATATATGCTAACTTAAACTAGGCCTTCCTGGTTACGAGGCATAAATTTTATTGGTCTTCTTTTGACCACAGTTGTGTTACTTACCCAATCAAAATATCTCTCCATGCCAGAAAAAAAAAATATAAAAGGGCTTGGGGCTCTCTCCCTTTTTCCGCCTTCTCCATGTTCTCTGATCTATTAAAATTGGCATGTAGGGCTTCAGTGTGAAAACCAAGGCAGGAAAAAAAAGGGGGAATTTTGATCTATGCCAGGATAATGGAGGGTTCACAGATTAGACGCAAAAAATAAAGGCAGGAGACAGCAGTGAACACTTGGAACTAAGAAACAGTTTTGAAGCTCTCCACCCATTCTGGGCAAATTCACTGGCTGTCTTCCTCCCCTATGGGGAATTTTTTCCCCCTCATCTGACTTCAAGCCTCCTCCTGCCTTCAAGTTGTAGCTAAAACTCCACCTTTTACAAGAGAACTTTCTTGATCCCCTTTAATGGTAGTGCCTTCTCTGTTGATTATCTTCAATTTATCCTGTACCTTGTTTTTTACATAGTTTGGTGTCTCCTTAGTTAGACTATGAACTCCTTGAAAGTACAGACTCCCCCCCCCCAAGTATCTTCAACTCAGCATACTGCTTAGCACAAAGTAGGTACTTAATAAATGGTATTGACTGACAGAAGAGATTGCTTGTTCTCCAAGGAATAATAATCAGAAAGTAGTGTCAGGTGAGGCTACCCAGGTCAGAGAAAGAAGAGATGAATAATGGTAATCCTCTTGAGGGGTACTAAGGCAGCTGTTTTTTAACTTGTTACATTAATAGAGAATTCTGCTATCTTAAGGCATGTATACATGATGTAACACAACCTGTCAAGACTTGTCAAAACGGATTACTATTATTCACTTCCAGTGATTCATGGGGTTCAGATGGTACTGCTGGAAAGAATCTAGAAAGTGTTGTCAAGGATTAGAATGTCTTGGGCAAAAAACTATCCCTCACAGGAGCACAGGTGGTATTTTCATCACTGCTACCTGTCAAAAAGAAGGAAATCAGAAAGGAAAGCATATTTGGAACATGAGCTGGTTAAAAAGTTTATCTAAGGCTGAGATTTCAATTTGGGGGGTCACAACTTAAAATATAGGAATGTTTCATATTTAACAATGAATTTGCCCAGTCTTGTGAATTAAGAGAGTTAACTGGAAGGAAACCTCTTTAAGAAGAAAGCTGCCTATGTACATTCGTAAACTTAGATGATATGGAAAATAGTTACAAACTAGGAAGAATAGCCCTTGAGGCAGAAATCTGAAGGAGATCAAACCCAAGAAAGGAGTCCATTGTAAAACACATGTCCTCTATATACCAGTACACAAAGTAGTGAGATGTACACAGTTTACATACTAAGTACACTATAAAATAAACTAGAGATCCTGAAGCAATTATGCTAACTTAATCTCATAGACATCACTAAGATTTGGTAGGGTCGGTTCTGTGTTTAGAATATGATTATGGTTGGGTATGTATTATTCAAAAGAATAAGGAGGCAAGGGAAGGTTAGTTAGCATTGCATGTTAAGATATAATGTAGTATACATATGTTGTAATATATACATCTATCCGTTTATGATGACTCAGAAGTTTTAGTGCAGTTTTAAAGCTTAAAACCTCACTAAGACTTCTGGGACATACTAATTACCATCTGCCACCCACAGGGCAGGTGAGCCTGCCTAATAGCAAGAGATCCTCAGGGAAAGACAGAAGGCAACATGTACCAGGCAAGTCATAACTGCCGCTGCCACCGCAACTACCATCCAGAGCCTTCTATACCGCTATCATTTATTTCCCCAGCAACTCTGAACCCAAGAACCTTAAAAATAGCAGTTTTTCCAACCTAGTGCTCATAGCTATCCTGAGAAACAACCCCTGTGGGGATGCAGCCTGGCAGCTGCTCCTGAACGTTCTATAGATAGCTACTGAAGATCCAAAAGTTACTGCTACTGAAGTCCTTGTTGCTTCCAAATGGTTCAATATCAGACACTGCTTTTATCAATGAAATGACCTACAGAGGAGGTATTCCTATCTACTCTGATGCTGCACCCTAAGGACCATGAGACTTTTCCATCTGAGTAGAAGCTGAAAACTTCTATATTGTCTCCCCCATTAGAATATGAATGCCTTGAGAGCAGAATCTGCTTTTTCTGTTTATGTCCTCAGCACTTAGCACAATGTTTTGCACGTAGTAAGCACTTAATATTCATGTGGAGAGATTTTTTTTTTGAATGAGTATCAATCAAGAGGCAGAAACAGACATGATTTTCATTGGAGTACACTACAGACCACCTGGACAGAAACAGATACATTTGAGAACTATAAGAAGCCTGACACAGAAGCATGCTATATAGTAGGGATTGGAGCTGGAATCTGTGGAATGCCCTCTGCCAAAATGAGAACCAGAAAATAATAGAATTTTGTTGTTAGAAGTGACCTCAGCATCTATCTAGTCCAACATATCTAAAAAGTCTCCACTATAACATCCGACTTGCAAATGAGCAGAAATCCATTTACCTCCCAAGACAGCCAATTTTACTTTTTGATAGTTCTACAAAATTTTTCCTCATATCAAAACCAAATGACATCCTGCAACTCCCATCCATGACTTCTAGTTCTATCTTCAGGGACTTAGAACAAGTCTAATAATTTAAGGGAAAACCATTACCTATTTTTTTATACCATCCTAGATGATTATCCCTTGAAACAGAACTTTCACTTAATTAAGTACAGTCAAACAAGACATACTAATCATGTCTGAAAAATATGTTGGCCACTAACGGCATAGCGGATAGAGAGTTGGCCTTGGGCTTAGAAAGACCCTCAGTTTGAGTCTTTCTTCAGACACAATACTGACTGAATCTGTGCAAGTCATTTAACTTTTCTCGATATCTTCAAGAAAATCACTTAAGACTTAAGTTGCAGAAAAGGTGTTGCTATTTCCTGGTTGACTCATACATTGATGAAATCATAGGTCTGGTATGTTTTTAAAAAATTAAAATCTTTTTGTTTCTGGACTCATTCATTGTATTAGTTATCCCTCTCATTTTGTGTCATTTGCAAATTTGGTGAACCTGTGTGCCATCTATTGACCTTAGTCAAATCATTGATAAAAATCTCAAATACCACAGTAACATAACTTATTAGACCATCATCCCACTCCACCCTCACTCCACCAAGAAAGTGGAAATTGAACTGTAAAAACTACTTGAGTCCAGCCATTTAATTCAGAATTTTTCTGTCTAGTCCATGTAACTTCATCTATTCCACAAGAATTGTATATAAAAGTTTATCCAATGCTTTGCCCAAATATGAAAAAAACTACAGATTTTTGTCTTGCCAGTTTAGTGATGTAAGAAAAAAGGTTAATCTAGCATGACCTGTCCTTAATAAACCCATGATATCTTTTTATAATCACTACTTCCTTTTCTAGATTTTTTAACCGTATCTTTAGTCATTTATATTGGAATACTCTGAAGTATCAAAGTCCTGTAGTTTGAAAAGTCTATTCCTCTCTGTACCTCTTTTTAAAAATTGGGACATTCATACTGTTCCAGTTAATTATTCCATTCACAGTGGCTTTTCCAAACCAGTTTCCCCCCTGAGACCTCCCATAGTTTCCCTGCCTCCCACCCTCTCAGTTGAGAACCTTGCCTCGTATTTCACTGAAAAATTGAGGCCATTCACAAAGAGTGCAGCAATTTCTCCTGTTTCACAGGAAGAAGCAGCCCTTCCTAAGCCAAATCTCTCTACGTGCACATGTGATCAATTTCCATCCTATCTTCTCCAGCAGATTGCCCTTCCTACCATTCTTATTCTTTGACTAATCTTTAATCTCTCCATGGCTCCTGGCTGCTTGCCTATAGACATAACACATGTCTCCCTCATCCTCAAAAACCTTTTACTTGATCTGTCCATCCTTATTAGCTATTTTGTTCTATATGTCATTTTTTTTAATGCCAAACTCTTCAAGAAAGCTGTCTACAATCAGTTCCTCAATTTCCTTTCATCTCATTGTCTTAACTGCCTGCAGTTTGGTTCTGACATCATAATTTAACCCAAACAGCTCTCTTCTCTAATGACTTTATAATTGCCAGATCTAATGGCCTTTTCTCAGTACTCATCCTTGAACTCTCTGCAGCTTTTGACACTATTGATCACCCTCTTCTCTTTGATACTCTCTTCTCTCCAAGTTTTTGTGATATTGCTCTCTTCTTAATCTCCTACCTGTCTGAGTGCTCCTCAGCAGTCTACTTTGATGTCCTTCATGTGTGTGTGTCCTGAGTCCTCTTCTGTTTTCTCTCATTTGGTGATCTTAGTGTCCCATGATTTCAATTATCTCTATGCAGATACTCATATCTGCTTGTCTAGCCTTAACTTCTCTCCCATCTTCCAATTTTATATTGCCAATTGTCTGTGAGATATCTTGAACTAGAAGTCCCATAGACATTTTAAACTTAACATGTCAATTAAACTCATCTTTCTCCCACAAAACCTATTCTCTTCTAAACTTCCCTATTACTGTTGAGGGTACCACCATCCTCCCACTTAATCAGACTCACAAGCTAGGTGTTCCTTTACTTTGACTCTCACCACTACTTCCCATGGCTAATCTGTTGCCCAGGCCTGTCAATTTTACCTTCATAACGTCTCTTATATATGTCCCCTTCTTGCCTTTGACACTGCTGCCACTCCGAAGCAGGTCTATATCAAATCACCCCTGGACTATTACAACAGTCTGCTGATTGATCTCCTTACCATGAGTCTCTCCCCATTGAAGACTATCCTCCACTCAGCTGTCAAATTAATCTCCTTAAAAGCATAGATCTGGACATGTGATTTCCCCCTGCTGCCCCATTCCATAAACTCTACTTCAGGATCAGATATAGAATCCTCTGTTTGTTTCTAAAGTCCTTGTAATATGGTTGCTTTCTATCTTACCAGTCTCCTTATATTTTATTTCCCTCTCATACTCTGTAATCCAGTGATACTGGACTCATTGCTTTTCCTTATACATGACATTCCACCTTCTTACTCAGAACATTTTCATTGGATGTCTCCCATGCTGGAGCTCTATCCCTCCTCATCTCCACTTCCTAGCTTCCTGGTTTCCTTAAAGTCCCAGCTAAAGCCCCACCTTCTTCAAGAAGCCTTTCATGGTCTTCCTTAATTTGGTACCTTCCCTCTGAGATTACACTAAATTTATCCAGCATATATTTTGTTTGTCCATAGTTATTTGCATGTTATCTCCTCCATTAGACTGCCCATGTCTCCCTCATCCTCAAAAACCTTTCATGTTGCTTGAGAGCTAGGACTATTTTTGCTTTTCTTTGTACCCACAGTACTTAGTACAGTGCTTGATAAATGTCAATTGATTGGCTCTAATCTTGTAATATTTCTCCTTTTCTCCTTAAGCTTACAAAGCTTACAAATATCGCTGACAACTGCTCAGCTATTATAATCACCATTTTTCTTTAAAATAGGAGGATATAGTTTATCTACGTTAGGTGACTTTAATTCAAAAGTAGCTGACGGCTCTCTTACTACCTCCTCATCTTGGGCATCAACTTCCCAGTTGACCAATTTTGCTCTGTCATGACCTGTGCAAAGCTCATATGTTAAAAATAAATCTCAGAAAATAAAAGTTGTATGTAACAGCTAAGGCACTTGAGGAGAAGGGCAGGTTGGGGAGGGAAGGAGGGGTAGCTCCAACACTTCATCAGAGAAAACAAAAACAAAACAAAATTAAATACCACTGCTTTCTCCTTGTTGTTAGCTATCATTATTTCATCTACTTAAAGCAGCAATGCTATCCTTTGATCCTCCTCTTTCCTTCAATATAGCTATTAAAAACAAGAAAAAATTCAATTTTGTTATTGCCGGACCAGTCTCAGCTCCTTCTGAGCTTTAGCACTTGTGACAATTTTAATAGGACCATAACATACTGATATCCTCTGTTATCTGTCTTCACTTTCATCTTCTGTAGGAGTCTTTTAAAAATTGAGGCTTTCTTGCAAATCCACATTGTCTCTTTAGACAATCTCTGTTTTTTTTCTTCTCATCAGAATTATTTCCTGTTGTGACTTCAGAATTGTATTCTTTAAAATTATCCTTCCCTCCTTAGCTGACTTCCTCCCATAGAATTTTAGTCCATGAGGTTCTACCTTTCCTTTTTCTGAACTCTCTGAAATCTGGTCTCCCCAGTTCAAGAGTTTGTGTCAGAGTATGCCCAGCTTTTCTCTATGACAGACTTTAGAAAGGAGTGGTGACTTCCCTCAAGGTTCCTATAATTTTCATCCCAATAATCAGTTCTTCCTTGTTAGTGAGAATTTCCCCTATTCATTCTTCACATTACATTCCCATGACACCTCTCTAGTTCAAGAGCTTACCATCTCTCCCCTGGAATCTTGCAAAAGACTCGTAACTGGTTTTCCTATTTCATTATATTCCCTTTCTAATCTATCCTACATGCTACTGTCAGTACTCAGTACTGAGCATGTGCCAGGCACATAATAAGTACTTAATAAACATGCATTGTCAGTACAGTTTTATTGTTCTCAGGAATAAGCTAATTGGGCAGTGGCCATGTCTGATTATTTTTAAAAATATAATCAGTATCTAAAACATTGGTGTAACTGAGAATATTCTGATGGACTACATTTCTCAGCAAGCTTGGAACCATAGCATGATTGAGGAAATTCCCATTATTTCAGTTCACCTGAGACTATATTTTGGCATAGGATTATTGCATCACGAGGGTAATTGGAGCTATACAGAGTGTAATAGCCAGGTCTTGGAAGCCAAGCAGCCCAAAGTGTCCATGAGGCCAACTTTTGAAAACAGAGAGATGAAGCAAAATAATATGATGCCAGCAAGAGCAGCAAGGCCAAAGATACCTGCATTAAAAGCTTCAATCACCTTCATTCTAGTTCAAGAGTGAAACTTTTCCCAGATCTTTTCCCATTTCAAAGATCTAAGTTTTGAAGAAGATTTCCCTAAGCTTCTCTGCTTGTCTGGGAATGATGTGTTGTTTTTTTCCTATTGGTCTTACTTTGTGATTCTGTCTTGATTAAATATCCTACTATTTCAGTGCATAGCCTTAAACCAATTAGTATGGGAAAAACTGAGAAACTAAGTGGGGGCAAATGAATCCTTAAATTGTCATCCAATATACTTCCACAATTGGACTTTAATCCATATGAATGCAGAAATGAATGGCACACCATTTTTATTGCTGTCCAGTAATAGTATACATTTAATAATGTGGTTAGGCAGATAAACTAACTGGATCTGTGATATACTTAAGCATAGCACATATATTCTATTGTTTCAATATTTGCAACATTGAGATATTCAGTTAGGTTAATGAATCCACTTAAGCACTCATTTTACCTTTATTCAACTTGATTGATAAGGCCAATCAAATTGACTGAAAGTCATTGCACTAGCAAGGATATTTTACAAAGGCGGAATGAGTTGTACCCACAAACAAGTCAACTGCAAAGTTTAAAAGAACCCATTAGTTGTTGCCATGAACATTAGAACAATAAAAATACAAATCTGTTGAGGTCTGGTGATGTTATTTAACTAATGATTATTAGCTATGTAATGCCTGGTCTTTAACTCCAACTCAACTCAGTACTACCTAGACAGAATATCAGTGACTTGTTTTATTATGAATTCATATGTGTGTGTAGATACTGTGTGTGTGTGTATATATATATATGTATGTATATATATACATACATATATATACACACGTATGTATATGTGTATGTATGTATACATACTTTATATATGTATTTATGTATATTTCTGATGTAAAATGTAATAGATTCACCTTTGAATATCATATATGATATGTCAAATATATATGTGTGTGCATATATACATAGATCACACATGTTTATGCAGAAATATGCACAAGAGTTTACAAAGGAACTGTGATTTCATGAGTTTAGGAAACTGGTGTGGGAACCTCATCTACCAACTCTGATCAAAGCTGGGCAGTGATTTTGT